TGTGTGTGTGTGTGTGTGTGTGTGTGTGTGTGTGTGTGTGTGTGTGTGTATGTAGTGGGGGGAGAAGACACTATGAAAAGAAATGTAGGGGTATCAGTGGAAGGCCAAATTGGAGTTTGGTTGCCCTTTTCCTCTTGTTCTCCTTCAGGCCCTGGAATCTTGCATGGGTCGGCCATTTGAAGGGACAGTGCAGAGGTTTCTGGCCGTGGTGCTTCCAGCCTGTGGAGACCTCAGCTTTCAGCAGGATCAGATGATCCAAACCTTTGGCTTTAGGGACTGTGAGATCACGTGAGACTTGGGGCAACATAAACCTAGACAACTGTCAACTACATCTATGGTCCTAGTCTAATCTTTCCCTTACTCTTTTTAACTCTGTCTCAACAACATTTTTTGCCTGGCAGTGATGCTTTCTCCCCCATCCTTGCTAATGGAATCATCTGGACTATCTGGGAGGGTTGAGAGATGTATATGTCTCATGAGAGTATAGGATTTCTACAAGTTGAATTTCATCACTTAAAAAAACCCCAAAGAAACATCAAGTTTTTGTAACAGTGACCCACTCTTATCCCTACCCTTATATTACCATACTGATGCTGGAACAGTACAAGGTTGGTTTTCCTTTTTTCCTTACAACATAATGGAGGAGATCAGCTTTTGTTCTTCTTGAAAGAGGAGTTAAATAGTCAATGAAAAGGTGTGCTGTTCATATCACCCCATGAAACTGATGGTTTTTTTTTATTTCTCCCCCTGCAAAGGGACCCAGGCAGCTGCCATTCTCTCCTTCCTTCAGGTAGGAATTAAGGGGCAGTGGAGGATGATTCCTAGAGGTCACATTGTCCCTTCCCTTCTCTTCCACCCTAGGCAGCTGGTAAATGCTGGAGTCCTCACAGTTCGAGATGCTGGGAGCTGGTGGCTGTCAGTGCCAGGAGCTGGGAGATTTGTAAAATATTTTGTTAAAGGTTCTGATTTCTCATTCCGTTCTCTAATTATTCCAAAAGCATAAATCAGAGTTATCCCTCCCTACTCCTGCCCCAACCAAGGATACTTAGGAGAGGGACCATCCCCCAGGACTAAGGCCCAGTGATCACATCCATTGTCTTGTCTCATCTGCTCTGATCTCTTCCTTCTAGGGCGACAGGCAGTACTTGGGATGGTTCGAAAGTCCAAGTATCGGGAGCTGTCCCTTTCTGAGCTCTTAGGCAGACGAGCTCCTCTGTCTGTGAGGCTTGGCCTTCCCTATCATGTACATGATTTAATTGGAGGGCAGCTGCTTGACATGTAAGTATATAGCTTTACCTGTTCCTTTTCTTCCCTATTGTCAAGTGTTTCAACTAAATCATCTAAGACTAGAGCTTTTCCTCATCATGATGATCTGTAGGCATTGCTCTTTGATTGACTATCCCAGTTTTCTATAAACATGGAGACCCTTATATCTAGACCCTAGTTTTTCCTGTCTACCTTTCCCCTCACCCCTCCCACCCCCAGCTAGGTGGCATAATGGATAGAGCTGTGAGCTCTGGATTCAGGAAGACCTAAGTTCAAATCCTGTTTTGGACACTTACTAGCTGTTTGACCATGGGCAAGTCATTTAACCTCTATGTTCTTCGGTTTCCTCAACTGTAAAATGGGATAATAATAGCATGCATATTACAGGATGTTTTAAGGATGAAATGAGATAATATTTGTAAAGTGCTTAGTATAGTGCTGTTTACATAGTAGACACTATATAAATGCTTATTTTCTTTCCCCTTCCCCCTACAGTGTCCCCACCGCATCTGGGACTCTCCTTCGCCTGCCTGAGACATGAAGATTCGAGTTCTCTTTTCCCAATTCATCTGTTGGACTGGGGAATGAAGTAAAGTGTAGATATAACTTGCAGCCCACAAGACGTCTTGACTTAACACAAATGAAAGTGGCATCTACGGAGGGGTTACCCCTTGAAGTGTCTGAAGTTGAGACTACTGTTTGGTTTTCTAGGTGGATGGGACAGATGTGATCACTGCTGTGTACAGGTTTGGGGTTTGGACCGTGACTGCCCTTCCTTTGCCAAGGACAAAGATCGGAAACTATGTCAATGTTTTGCTTATTATCGCCTTTCACTAGGCATAATGTCATTTTGTTCTGGGGTTCTCTGTCCTTTTTTTTTTTTTGGTTGAAATTGCGAAATAAACAATATCTTTCTGTGATGTTTTCTTTAAGGCCTCATTTAAATGCAACATGTCTCTTTGGCGCTCAGTTGTAGGGATGGGTAAGGATAACTCTAGGTCTGGATGTCTCCCTCCATAACAGAATTCATATGGGACAAAGGTAAACAACGAAAAGGGTCTCCAGTAACAGTATGGGTATTACTGTGATTTCAGTGAAAACCTACTCAAGCCTTAGAATCTGTGGTCAGTCTTATACAAAATAACGTCCAAGTGTCACTAGGGTTATATGGGAATGAAGGTTGTGGAGAGGAGACTCTCTGCATACCCTTACTTCACCTGTATAAATATCAGGATTGGGGAGACAACCACACTTAAGAGAGACCATCCTGTTTCAGAAAGACCTATGTTAAAGGGATCCAAGATTTCCTCACAGGGGCCTAGGTTTCCAGTACTTTCAGTACTGGGCTTTGGGCCAGTTGCATTTCTTGATTGTCACGTGTTTTCCCAGCTAAACCAGAGCAGGGGTGGAGCAAAGTCCAAAGTTACCTCTCCTAGACCCCAGGATAGCCAGAAGGGAGTAAATGGACAGCTGGGATTGACCATCCCTGCAGTCCTCTCAACCATGAAGCTCTTATGGATGCTGCTTTGGGTTTCAAGCCTCTTCACTTTGACTGTACAGGAAGCCAGGTCTTGGGAAAAACTATCTGTGTCCCTGAGGGTTATGGAGACTGGGGATGGGAGACCTAACAGCTATGGAACAGAAACACCTGCATGTCTTGGGAAGTGGGGTCTTGGTTGAAGGCTAGGGGGATGGGTCAGTGGCTTGGGTGAGGGAAGAAGGGAGCTCTATACCTGTAAGTCCTAACCCCCACTTTCCCTTAGGCTGCTGATCTTTTCACCCTCTGTGGTTCGCTTGGGTGTACCACTTTCGGTGGGACTGCAACTCCAGGGAGCTTCGAAGGGGCAGAAAGTCAAGGGTGTTATCTTCCTGAGAAATCCATCAGGGCCCTCAGTGCATTGCTCTGAGGATGTGCCCTTTACCCTGGACTCTGACCATGACTATCAGCTACTTAGCCTCCCGGTAATTGTACCTCCAACTCCCTACCCCCATCAGCCTACCCCTAGTTGTTCCTACTGTCTTTTTGTGCCTGCCATCTAGTTGCTGTCTCCACTCTGTTTTTGTTTACATGTCATTTACCTCCTTGCCTCTGATTCTGAACCTACATCTGTTTTTCTGGTCTTGGTCCCTCCCCTGGTCTTTGTGCATCTCATTCTTACTTGATCTTTCCATATCTCTTTCTCTCTCTGGCTCTTCACTCTCTGCCTCTGACACTATCCCCATCTGCCCTCAGGTCCCACTGGTCCATGTACAGCGCTGTGGTCTCAGTAAGCTTCATTTTTCCCGTCATGTGCAACTTCTGGCCAAAACATCATGGCTGAAATCAACTCTGTCTCGACAAACAGACACTCAGGGTGTTAATCTGTTATTTTCTTCACGTCGGGGTCACCTTTTTCTACAGACGGACCAGCCCATTTACAACCCTGGCCAACGTGGTGAGGAGTCCATAGCTTCAATTCCTTCTTATCCAACAACACAAATTTGTTGCATAGGCATACCATGTACTTTTTTTGTAAAGGGAAAGGATGAGAAAGAGGAAAGAAAAAAATAGAGCTTATGAAATCTCCTCCTTTGGCCCACTGACACCTCTCTATCATTTCCTCTAGTCCGATTCCGAGTCTTTGCTCTGGATCAGAACATGAGACCATCCACGGATACCCTGACTATTACTGTTCAGGTGAGTCCCTGGCCTCACCAGCTGTGACCCCTGATTCCTAACCTTCTGCCTCTAGGTTTGTTCACTGAGTCCCTCTTCTCCTAGAACTCTCATGGCCTTCAAGTACGGAAGAATGAGGTGTTTTCTAAAAGATCCATTTTCCAAGATGATTTTGTGATCCCTGACATCTCAGAGTGAGCTCTTTCTTGAATCCATCCCACTCTGGAATACCCTTGTGTATCTCCCTTAAATACCTTCTCACTTTCTACCCCTTTTCCCAGTCACCTCACTCCAGACCCCAGGGATTCTGCCTGCTGCATAGTCCACTCTTACCTTTACAGCCTCCCAGATTGTTTCCCAAATTCCCCCATCGTATATAAGAACAACACTCTTTTTCCACTACGCTCTTCTCTACCCGCTTAGGCTGAGCCACCTCTATATTTCTTCTCAGGCCTGGAACATGGAGGATCTCAGCTCGATTTTCTGACAGCTTAGATTCCAACAGCAGTACTGAGTTTGAGGTGAAGAAATACGGTAAGAGCTGGAGACTAGGGAGATAGTGTCCTAAGGAGAGAAAAGGTTGGGGTTGGATACTGGATCCCAAAGAGAAGGGATGTTTTCATTACTGTTTGACATCTCTTCTCCTCTACTCTCACTTAGTTCTCCCCAACTTTGAGGTGAAGATCATACCTGAAGAGCCCTATGTGCTGGTAGCTCCTGGTGTTGATGTGAATATCCGATTGAATGTCCAGGCCAAGTAATCCTTTCCCTTATTTCTATCTCTGCGTACTGTTCCCAATAACCTTTGTATCTCTCCTCATATCCTCTTCACCCTTCCTTAGGACTCTTCCTTTTGCCCTATTTCCCCCTACCCCCACTGTGGCCTCTTCTGCCGGGGTTCCTTCCAAATATCCCTTGTCTCTAGGTATGTATATGGGAAGTCAGTGCAGGGAGTAGCTTATATTCGATTTGGAGTCTTGGATGAGAGTGGTGAGAAGAAATTCCTTCGAGGGCTGGAAAAACAGTCCAAGGTAGGGCTTAGAGGTCATGGAAGGGAGGGTGATGGAGTAATAGGTGGGATTTTCACCACAGTTGTATGTTCTATCTTTTGTTCTCTCCTCCTCAGTTGTCAGATGGCCGCTGTGGCATTACCGTCTCAGGAACAGAGATCCAGAAGTCATTGAACATCCCTGGGATGGACAATCTTCAGGGGCTTCGCTTCTATGTAGCAGCTGCTGTCATTGAATCCCCTGGTGGGTGACCCTAGACCTCTGACTCTTTACCTCTCCACTCTGATCACTGCTTTGGACATCCACCCATAGTCTCCTTTCCTCCCCCCAACCTTCCCCTCTGAGCACCTACACAGGTACCGAGATGGAGGTCACAGACTTCCTTCTAGAGAGGGAAGCCTGAGGAGACAATGATCCCTATGTCTTTCTGTCTCCATCGCTTTCCCCTATTGCTTTGTCTCTGCTTTTTTGTCCCCGACTTCTTATATCTATCTATTTCCATGGACCCAGGGGGAGAGCTAGAGGAAGCTGAACTTACCTCCTTACGCTTTGTCTCATCTCCATTTTTGGTGGACCTCAGCAGCACCCAGCGGTATTTTGTACCAGGAACGCCTTTCCTGCTACAGGTCATTCCTGGGGCTGTTAAAAAAGAGGATAGGGAGGGAGAGTACAAGAGAGATTGGGAGAGGCAGTACAGATAAAGGGAATGGCACAGCGTTTTTTCTCTATTTCTTCTTCTCTGACTTCTCTTTTACTCATCCTCAGGCCTTGGTTCAGGATGTCTCTGGCTCTTCAGCCCCTGGGATCCCCATCAAAATTTCCACCAAATTTATCACCTCAGGAGTTGGTTCTAATATCCAGGTTCTTAACTTCAACACAAATGAGAAGGGTCAGCTCAGCACCCTCATCAATGTCCCCCAAGCCACCCAAGAGTTGCAGTTTACGGTGAGATGGGAACCAGACACCCTAGGAAAAAAGTGGGGACAGGAGAAGGGGGAGCCAAGAGCTGGGTGCTTGTGTCACTCAGGAACAAGGCAGAGATCTGGGAGTTGAAAGACCAGATTGCTAAGTCCTTCTGACCTTTCCCTTTATTGCCTCCTCCTAGGTATCTGCAGGATCCCCCTTCCCAGCAGAGGCCACCCTTACTGCCCATTCTCCACCTTCTGGAGGCTCTGGGCTCTTGTCCATGGAGCGACTGGATTCCAGGCCTCCCCATGTGGGACAGACATTCACTCTAAACCTCCGTGCTGTGGGAGTTGATGGAGCTACTTTCTCCCATTACTACTACATGGTGAGGATAGGCCAGTAAACGCAGTATTGTTGGAGCAAAGATCAGGGCAGAGGTGGACAGTCCTTCCCTGGAGGTGGAGACAGAGTGAGGAAAACAGGAGGTTAAAGAGGAAGCTCCTTTCAGATCCTTCTGTCTTGCCAACCACTATGGCACCCCCAGGTCCTGTCGCGTGGGGAGATCATATCCATGCATCGAGTGGCAAAGGGGTCTGTGACCTCCATCTCGGTACCTGTGACCGCCCAGCTCGTGCCTTCTTTCCGCCTCGTCGCCTTCTATTACCACAATGGTCTGCCAGTCGCCAACTCTTTGAAAGTGGATGTCCAGGCGGGGGATTGTGAGGGGAAGGTAACCGGGGGAGGGGAGGAAAGATGAAGGAGAAAAGATGTGATGAGACAGAGGTGGAGAGAGGGAGGGAGGGAAGAGGAGTGGACTCAAGTTCAAAGAAAACTCCGAAGATGTGAAAAATAGGAAGTAACTTCTTCCTCCCAATAATGTTGCCCTGCTTTTTTTTTTTTTTTTCTTTTCTATCCCTAGCTGGAACTGAAAGTGGATGGGGCAGAACTTCGACCTGGGAACCAGCTGAGGTTAAATTTATACACAGATTCCTTGGCCACTGTAGCCCTGGGGGCTGTGGATACTGCGGTGTATGCAGCAGGTGGCCAGAGGCACAGCCCTCTCCATATGAATAAGGTCCCCAGAGGCTCCACTTCCTCTTCCTTTTGCTATTTTCCCCCAACTCCTTGGCCACTCTGTCCCTCCCTCCAGCTTCCCCAAACTTCTCTCCTTTCAGGAGTCCTATTTCAATTCCCTTGCAGACTTCACCCTTTCCCGTAGCCCTATCCCCCCATACTCAATGCCCTTTCTCTCACAGCAATCCTCCTCTTTCTGCTCCCCCTATCCCCCCTCTCACCAAATCCTCTACTT